TTAATGGCATCTCTACTCCAGCTTGACCAGATCAGCCAGCCAAGTGACTCTTAGTTGGGTTTCCCCACATCATAGAGGTGACTGGGGCTAAGTGGTCCAAATCTGGGCTGGGCTGGCTGGCCTGTCAAGTTGCCATCTCTAAATGCATTAGCTATGCCTGCAGGTGGCCTCCCCACAGGGTGCGAGCTTCTCCACCCAGCCTGGAGGTCAGGTCCCTTTACACATCTCAACAGGCTCCAGGGGAGCCCCAAGATTTCTCATGTCCCACTCAGGGTCGGCAGATTTGTCTTTCCACCACATTGTGTGCATCAAGTAGTCAGGAAGGCCAAGCCAGATCCAAGAGGAGGGACTAGAGTTCACTGGACAGCATACTCTTTAGGGGAGGAAGTGACTAGAGGTAGCCAGGTGACCACAAGTCAAAATCTCATTAAGGTGTGTGGTCACCAGGTTTCTTGGCTGTCTCAGTGATTTCAGCATACCACCTGATACGAACAAAACCCAAGCCTTCTCCTCAGGCTTTCCTGGTGGGTGGCCGTGTTAGACGCAGGGATGGTAAGCTGGCCAAGGCCAGGGCCCTCCATTAGCTTCATCTCACCTGCAGATGTTGACCAACTAGGTGTCAGTTACTTTTTGTAGTTACTGCAAAGTTGAGGGTATATTAACTCCATTGCTCTTCCTCAAAGAAACATTATAAACAGCAAGTAAATGAACTGACAGAAATTTACGTCATTTACATAGTTGTCACTTGGGATTTTAGAAGGTGTTTATTTATAGTGTTACGATCAGCACACACTTCCCAAGCACACAGTTCCCTTTACTTTCCAGGGCTGTGGAAATAGCTCAGTCTTAGTAAAGTGCTTGCCACTTCAGGAGGACCTGGGTTTGATGTCCAGAACCCATGTGCTAAATGCAGGTGTGACAGGGAGCACCTGCAACCTCAGTGCTGGGGGTGGAGAAGCAGGCGGATCTCTGGCCAGCCAGCCTGTCTCAATAGGTGAGCACCAGTGCAGTGAAAGATCTGCCTCAAAAAAACAGGATGAAGCTGGGCGTGGTGGCACACACCTTTAATCCAGCACTCAGGAGGCAGAGGCAGGCAGATCTCTGTGAGCTCGAGGCCAGCTGGTCTACATAGTGAGTTCCAGGACAGCTGGGGCTACAGGGAGACCCTGTCTTAAAAAGACAAAAACAAAAAAACAAAACAAAAAAAACCCAGGATGGATGGTGCCCGAGGATTGACATTTGAGATTGTCCTCTGGCACACAAACACACATGAACGCATGTACTCACGCATGCATGCATGCACACGCACACACGCACATACACATGCCCCCAAAATAATAAAAACAAATTCCCTTTCCCTCTCGAGGACATGTCTGTATCCTTGGTAAGTCAGAGAACCTTGCACACCAAGTTCTTTGTGGCGTTAGCTGAAGGAGCCGCAAGTTAACTGGGTGGTGAAGCCTCAAGTTTGACACAGGCTGGCAGGCATGAGCTCTGCAGCCTACGTGACATCGTGGGATGTCACAGCCAAGCAATGCCCCTAGAATGCCACAACACAGATTTTAACACAGCACCTCAGGGCTGTGGCATCCATCTTTCCAGCACTCACTAGCCTTTGTTCTGAATGAAACCATCACACTATGACATGTTCAGATCGGATGCTGTTAATGCAAAGTGCGCCACTGCCAACGCAGGGCTCGCTTTCTATGTACCTCACAGCACCCACACAGACGCACAGTGCCATGTCAGGGCTTGCTTTCTATGTACCTCACAGCACCCACACAGACGCACAGTGCCATGTCAGGGCTCGCTTTCTATGTACCTCACAGCATCCACACAGATGCACAGTGCCATTTCACAGTTGTGGACAACTCATTGAGTGTGGGATCTCAGTGGACATAGGGTGTTTCCAGCAAGACAAAAGCAAAACACACGTGTACTTGCTCATGGGTAATGTATAATTTGGATTCTGCTTTGAGATATGGAAGGAATATTAAGGCAAGAGCCCACAAAACACTGTAGAGTTCAAGAGATCATGACCCAGTCACAAGCACAGAGGCCGGGGAATGGTGGTCCAGGACCATTTAAGCTGAAGGCATCTGGCCTGGGCTCAGAGCCTTGAAAAGCAGAGCTGGAATGCTCTGTGGTTCATTTCCCTCCCCTTGGGTGGAGAAGGGCAGACACAGCGGGCACCAAGGGCTTCTCCCTTCCGGCCTCTTGGCAGCCAGCTTTGGCTCCCTGTTTCTAAGGAAGGAGGTGAGATAGGTCTCCTGGATGGCTGTCCCATAGTACTTTGCCAAATATGCAGGATTTCTGTATAACATTCTTTTTTGGCCCTTAAAAAATTAAATCTGTTTTGTTTTTTTTTTTCAGGTGCGCTACTTCTGGGGTGAGTGCTCTCTAAGAGATTTACTTTCGGGACTCAAGAGATGACTCAGTGGTTAAGAGCACTGGCTGCTCTTGCAAAGGACCCGGGTTTGGTTCCTAGCACCCACATGGCGGCTAACAACCATTTGTAACCTCAGTTCCAGGGGATCCAACGCCCTCTTCTGACCTCAGTGGGCGTTGCATGACATGGGTGCACTTACATATATGCAGGCAATATATTCATACACATACTAAAATAAAAGTAATAACTAAAATAAAAAAGAGAGAGAGATTTACTTTCTTACTTCCCTGACAGACAAGGGAAGAGGATTGGGTAGGAGATGGGGTGACATACATGTCCCCAAACATGTATGCCAATGAACTCCCTGGTGGGTACCCCTTCCAGCAGCTTCCATCCCAACAAGAAGCAGAAGTCTGGGGGCCCTGGAGGAGGGAGGAGAAAGGATGAGGATGGGGAGGGAGTTCAGCGTTCCTTCCAGCTGGGGAGGAGGCTGTCACAGCTCTGGTCTCTCACAAGGAAGAGGTCTGGCCAAAGGGAAATTCCAGGCTCTGCCAGAGAACAGGGAAGCAGGACTCCAGAAGGAGTGGTTCTGTCCAAGGAGGGGACAGGGATGTGGACACAAGGTCTGAAGACACCTCACCTCAGTAGAGGAAGGCACTTCCAGTATACGGCCCAAGACAGGCAAGCTGGGACTTCGCTGGGGAAGCCGGACAAGGCTGGACATGACCATGGCTGGACAAAGATCCCACTGTCATGGCTGGTTCTCAGGAGGAACTGAGAAGACCAGCTTCCAGGTTTCCCATCACTCAGCGAGGGGACAAGCAAACTTGGGGTTCTGTGGTGGTTACTGAGAGATGTCAGGCAAAGTTTATCCAGACTGAGCCAGATGAGCGCTGAGGCAGTGGGGCCACGAGGTCAGCAGGTCTATGAAGTGAGAGTGAGGGGCTTTTAGCCCTGCTCTGAGCCCACCCTGTGTCACTACAGTCATGCCTTCAGTATCTCCTAGGACTTACTCCCTGGCCACCGAGGGTGAGCAAATTTACCAGTCTGTGATTCCTTGATTATTTTATTAGTTTTAATTTTATGTGTATGAGCTTACTGCCTACATGTGTGTAAGTGCACCCATGTTGTGCAATGCCAGTGGAGGGCGTTGGATCCCCTGGAACTGGAGTTATGGGTGGTTCTTAGCCGCCATGTGGGTGCTGGAAATTGAACCCAGGTCCTCTGCCAGAGCAGCCAGTATTCCTAACCACTGAGCCATCTCTCCAGCCCCCTCATTCTGTGATTCTTCATGTCTCTATTATTTAGACCACCATTGACTTTTCCAGGGGTGATCTGAAGACACATCTATTCACCCCAGACAGAGCACCCCACAATAGACCAAAGAAACGATTCCACCCTGGTCTAGCTTCATGAACCAGTGAGCTTATTGGGATTGTCCACAACAGTGTGGGTGACTCAAAGACAGCTGCATCATGGGAAAGCTCACCCCAGCATGATTGACCACTCTTGAAAGCTGCATTCTTGGGACTCCCTGCAGTTTTCCTTTCCCAGTCATCGCCACTCCTAACATAACCTTGAGGTGGGCAGGACTCCTGGATCTTAAATTTTTCAGGAGCTTCCTGAACTTTGTAAGTTTCATTTTGCTTCCTGTGTCCTCTAAGCTGCCCTCCCCCCTCCAGGAGGAAGTAACTACACAGCAAACACTTGCACCTAAAAGTGAGTTTCCTAAGTGAGTAATGACAGGGGAGTTAAGGGTAGTCATGGTAACCTTAGGGGCATCTCATAGAGATCAGGAGCACTAGCTTTAGGAACTCTTTTTTGAAAAAAAATATTGTATTTACTATTTTTATTTTATGTGTATGAGTGTATTACCTGCATGTATGTAGGTACAAGTATGTCGTGCAGTACCCGCAGAGGTCAGAAGAGGACGTTGGATCCCCTGGAACTGGAGTTATAGATGATTGTTAGCTGTCATTTGGGTGCTGGGATTTGAACCCGGGTCCTCTGCAAGCACAGCCAGTGCCCTTACCCTCTGAGCCGTGTCTCCAGCCCCAGGGACTCTTGCTTTCAATCTCACTGTGTGGAAATTAGAGCTACCGTTGCTTCAGACCACTCTTCTCCATCTCTGACCTGTGTGCCTCGCCTGCACTGCCCTCCCCCTCTCTCTGGTGCTGAAGGTAGAAACCTCCAGGGGACCTGGCTGTAGCCGCAGCAGCATCGTCCTGTGGCTGCAGGGCTGCTAGGGCAGAGTATGGCAGAACCCAGGTTCCAGGGCCTTCTTCAGCACATGGGAACACTGCAAGCGATCCCACCACCTCCAGGCAGCTCCACTATCCTCTCTCTCAGGAGACTGATATAGATCCATCACCTGGGGAGAACAGCCCGCTCTCTCCCTTGAGAAGTCAGGGAGCCAAGTTCTTTTCTCTTTTCACTGGTTTGCTTTTGGCTCCAAGAAGTGAGGATGTTATTATTCATAACTATTTTACAGCCTACAGTCTATACATGGTTAGCCACTTGCATCTGGGCAGATAGGCGTTGCTTTTAAATAGGAAGTGGTGATTCTGTGACTTTCTTCTGGCAATTCTAGCATCCTGCTGATCGTTCTCTAATGATCACTGTTCACTGCATCTGTTGACAGAATGGTCCTCACCCTCCTAGGACTGGAGCCTGGACAACCACTGAAGCGGGTGTAGCTGACCAATCTTTGTATCACAGCATTTCCTGAGGTGAGCATACTCCCCTCCCTCACTTTTTCTTAAGACATGCCTTAGCTTCTTAGACATGATGGTCTATGGTAGGGATGTCTGACAGGACAGTTTCCTCTGGGATGTGAACATGCTGGCTGAGCTGCTGCCTGCTATGAGCTACATTGCTCTGTGCCCGTCTTTGTGGTTCTAGAAGAGAAGAGCATTATCCAGAAGTCAGCGCTTCCTGTGGGCTCAGGGATGGCTTTATTCTCATTGTCCCACTCTAGAGCCTGGGAGATGGTTTAGGCACGGCCCCTTTCCTTAGAAAACACTGAGGGACATTGATATGGAGAAAAGAGCAGAGTCTCTCTGTCTCTCTCTCTGTCTCTCTTCTCTGTGTCTCTGTCTCTCTGTCTCTGTCTCTCTGTCTCTCTCTGTGTCTCTGTCTCTCTCTGTCTGTCTCTGTCTCTGTCTGTCTGTCTCTCTCTGTGTCTCTGTCTCTCTGTCTCTCTCTCTCTCTCTGTCTCTCTGTCTCTGTCTCTCTGTCTCTCTCTGTGTCTCTGTCTCTGTCTGTCTCTGTCTCTGTCTGTCTGTCTCTCTCTGTGTCTGTCTCTCTCTCTGTCTCTCTGTCTCTCTCTCTCTCTCTGTTTTCCTGGGATAGAATCTAGGGTATCATGCATGCTAGGCAATCACTCTACCACTGAGCTATATCCTGAGCTATATTTTTATCTTTTATTTTGACACAAGGTCTCACTAAGTTTTACAGACTAGCCTCAAACACTGTAACCAGGTAAACCTTGAATTTACTGCCCCCCTGCCTCGGCTTCCTGGGTAACTGGGATCACAGGTCAATGCCACCAGGCCCGTCTTATTGTTTCTGCAGTGCTAGAAATGGAACCCAAGGCCTCACGTGAGGCCAGTGCTGTGCCGCTGATCCGCACCTCAGCCCTAGAAATGCATTCTTTATTTAACGACATACACAGAGATTTTGAAAAGCCAAGCACTAAATTAAGGCATAGCTGGTGGCAGGAAGGGATGTGTACAGTGCACAGCCATGGGTGGGACATGGCAGAGACCAGCACCTCAGATACACAGCAAGATGCCAAGACCAAGGTAAAGCTAATCTTAAAGGCTAAACGGTTAATTTTTGCACATAAAAAGGAAATATTAGCAGGGCATGATTGTGCAGGCCTGTCGTCCCAGAATCCCAGGGTAAAGGCAGGACTGGGAGGATCCATCACACGTCACATAATGAGACCCATCTCAAAAGAAAAAAGCAAAACAAGGCAAATAACAAAACGATGAAATATAAAAGTGAGCTGCCAAACAAGTTATCACTGGAAAATACCTTCTGGCTTCTTCCTAACCAGTTCAAAAGCAGAAGGAAATAGTCTGGGGTTTCGGCTCTGCTGAGGTTTACAGAGCACCAAAACCAGCATTCCTAAGACTCAAATGAATTTACAACACACACTTATTGAACACCCAGTGTTGTAGTACGAAGAATACTGATGTCAGTAGGAAGTTCTAAATAAACATATTATTGAAGGGCTGTGGAAGTGCGTGTGTGTAGCAGCTGAGAGGCTGTGGGGTCTCAGCCCTGCACACAGGTTTGGGTGAGCTGTATGGTCTTCTCCTGCAACACTGGCATGCTGCCAGCCTGAAGGAGGTCTGTAAGGCTGCAGCAGTACCAGATATAAAGCAGTGATGACCTGAATAGAACTGAATTTACAGCATGTACACAGCTGTATGTGCACCCATGTGTGCACACTCACCTGCAGAGATCTGCATTATAATATCCATTTGTACACACCTATACATGTGCATACAATGCATGCATACACATGTATACAAGTGCACACACAGACATGCACATGCATACACCCATATACACCTTTTAAAACATTCATTCACAGACAACACATGCATATTTACACACATATGTACACACACAACTACCTGTGCTTACATACTACACACATAAACTCCCATGCATCCACACAGGCACAGACACATATATACACATACACATCTTGGCATATGCATCTACACACAGACACAGACACATATATAGACATGCACATCTGGGCACATCCACACAGACACATACATACATACATATATATATATGCATACACATTCATCCACACATAGGCACAGACACATATACACACATACATGCACATGCACACACACATATTCTTTCCCTAGTCCTCCCCCCGCTTTCTTTTTTCTCCTCTCCTTCCTCTCTTCTCCCTCTCTCTCCTTTCTCTGTTCTTCCTTTCTCCCCCTCCTCCTCTTTTTGGGCTGCCTGTCTCTAACAACCATCTATAATTCCAGTTCCAGGTGATCTGACGCCCTCTTGTGTGGGCATTGCACCACACGGGTGCACTCACATGCAGGCAATACACTCATACACATAAAATAGAAGTAAGTAAGTCAAAAAATAATAAAAATTAGTTTTATGTTATGCTGAAAGTATTACTAGAATTCTTTTTTCTCTAAAGTAGCAGTTTCTTTTCCTGTGTGGTTAACAGAATCTTCTTTGAAATGCTAGAACCAAGAGGCAGAAGGAAGCAGTTAGTCCTTGCCACACACGTGCCATCTTGGAATCTGAGCACTGTGCCCGGCAGAGGAAAGGGGAAGAGCTAGTTGCTTATGTGGTTTCAAACCTTAAGTGGGAAAGCCATGACAGAGCTTAGCTAATCACTGGGTGCTAAGAGGAGAGAGAGGAAGAAGAGCGAGAGGAAGAGAGAGAGAAGAGAGAACGGAGAGCAGAGAGAGCGGGAGGGATCTCTAAAAGAGCAGATGAGTCATTTAAAGCTAGAGCTGTGATCACAAGCTGATTCCTAAGGCCAGTCCACAAGAAGCAATGAAGGTGGTTGAGTGCGGCCCGGGTGACGCTTGGTCCTTGAAGTTCTCAGTGTTGGGCTTCACTTGGAGCTAGGGGCCAGCATGCCACAGAAAGGTTAGTCACTGCCTTGTGACCCCTCCTCTGACTCCCGTCCAGCAGCCCAGCACTGCAGAGACTGAAAACCACTGTGGTCCAGCACGGCGGTGTTCACCATTGTCCTCTTGCTTGGGGCCCCAGGACAGCCCCCTGGGAGCCATTTGTACCTCTAGGTGAGTGCGGATGTCCTCAGGTCAGCATTTCCCAAAGTGTTCTCCAGAGATCACTGGCTCAGAAGGCCATGGGTGCAGGCTTGTCAGCGGTCTCTGCTGACACCTCAACAACCTCAGGAGTTCCCATAATCCTTAGGGAACTCGACACATGCCAAATCGAGATTGTGAAAAGAATTTCAGGCATAGACGGTTAAAAGGAGAGTTAGAGACTTTATTAAAGATACTCTTAACTGAATATTTGTGGTTTTTCGTACAATTTAATTTGATGGTATTTAGATCCCTTCCTCTATCTGCATCTCTCCTTATGCCCCTTCCCAATTGTGTGTGTGTGTGTGTGTGTGTGTGTGTGTGTGTGTGTGTAGTCTAATTTGTGTCCCCAAATGTCCTTCAGTGTGGGTCCATCCCCTGAAGCCTGGTTAACCTACCAAGAGTCCAAACCCTATAAGAGACTGTCTCTCTCCCTCCCAGCAGTCATCAGTTACCAAAAAGTTCCTTAGGTTGGGTTGGTGTTTCTTACCCACTTCCCTACATCTATGCTGGGGATTTTGTCTGGTTTGAGCTTGCATGGGACTTGTACATGCTGCTGCCCTTGCTGGAGCTCACCCTTGTGAGTTCATATGAACAACTGACCAGCTGTCTGGAAAACTGTTTCCTTGTGGTCATCCATCATCTCTGACTCTTACAATCTTTCCACACCCTCCCTCTTCCACAATGATCCCTGAGCCTTGGGAGGCAGAGGTTTGACACAGGTGACCTATTCAGGGATAAGCACTCTGCCGCCTCTTGTTCTCTGTGCATTGGCCAATTGTGGGTTTTTGGGCTAATCACCATCTGCTGCATAAGGAAACTTCTCTGGTGAGAGTTGAGAGATGCATTAATCTATGGGCATAACAATAAGTCACTAGGAGTCAGCTTAATACTATAACTAGTTAGTAGAAAACTAGTTTTGGGCTCTCCCCTGTCCTATGATCTGTCTAACCTCAGGTTCCTAAGCCTGATATCCTAGTTTGAAGGAGAGTTAGAGATTTTATTAAAGATAGACTTTTGCAGATGGGACCCCTGAGTTTCAGAGCACCACCACCAGTTGCCATTAGTGCTGCAGAAAGCCTGCTGTGGGTGGTGAGGCTCTCCTGCAGAGACTTCTCTCCAGCACTCCCAACCCAGGGGGACCAACCCACCCCATAGGCAGCACAGACTCACCCAGTCACATGGGCAGAGATCACTATGCCCCAAGGGAGATTGTGCCACTGTTGTTGAACTGCCTGACATTCCTCCTGGGAGTTATGCACCCCTATTCCTGGGCAGAGTCCTCCTTTGGAGAGGGGCTTCTTTCAAGTGACAGTCTCTCAAGCCATGATTGATGTCCTCCTGGCTGATCTTTCATGGGTAAGGCTGAACAATTCATGGTGCTCATTCCTTCCCAGGACTTTGGTATCCTTGGTTCCCACACTCCTTACCCCATAGAGCAGCACCAAATCGCTGTGTGAGTCTGGCCAGAGCCAAGTCAAGGGCTAGCACCTGCCTCATACCCAGCCTCATTCAGTGGCGTGGCCTAAAAGTGAAATAGATGTCAGTGTACCAAGCTCTATGTGAGCTTCCCATCACTGCCACCAAGTTGGCAGCTCCTGTGGCCGGAGGTCTGACACCTGCCTCGACTGAAGGTCAGGTGGGCACAGAGCCACATTTGTTCTGGACATCTGGAGGGGATCTGTGTCCTTGCTCCATCTGGTTGTGGGCAGACCTCAGTTCCTGTGTCTGCAGGACACAGATCCCAATTTTCGTATCAGCTGTCAGTGAGGGCCTTTGCCAGCCTCTTCAGGAAGCCTGCTCAGCCTATGACCCCTTTTCTGTCTTCAGCACAAGCCACAGATGCTTCCCCTCGGGGCTTCTATGTCATCTCCTTCTGTCTCAGACGGGAGAGGCGTGAGGGCCAAGGACCTGTGATTCCATCCAGCTGGGCCAGCTGACACATTCACACCGTCCAGCAATTAGGGAATAGACATCTTTGCAGCTGTGACCATGGCACTGTCTGTTTCGGACAATCAGGTCTGAGCAGCCAGTTTTAAGGCTTCGGGTCCTGAGTGACCGAGATGGAGGAATCACAGCATCTCCTCTCCTGAAACTGAATTTTCTACCTGTGTTATTGACTATTTAAATCCAAGTGCAGGATTTTCTCTTTTTCCTCACTGAATTTTATGTTTTAGGATAGACCCAGTGTTTAATTCTGCCCAAATTAGCTGTACATTGTTTCGGTTGTCCGATCTGTTATCTTTGGGTCTCTTGGCATTTCCAAACTCAGTGAATTTGCTTTTTCTCTTTTTGTCTCTGTCCTTGCTGGGGCAGTGAGCAACACTCGTCTGAGGTCTGATGGGTGCAACATCAGTGGGATATGTCCCAGCCTGCTGGGAACTGGTTCCACATGGATAACCACTGTGCCCACGCAGTGCTGGTCTCCAAATGCCTGGCAGCCCATGCCCCTGTCCAGCAAGCAGCCCCTCTCCAACCAGAAGCCCATGCCCCTGTCCAACCAGCAGCCCACCCCATTGTCCAGCCAGCAGCCCACACCCCTGTCCAGCCAGCAGCCCACCCCACTGTCTAGCCTGCAGCCCACCCCACTGTCCAGTCAGCAGCATATCTCTTTACACTGGTACCTAGACTGTAGTTCCTTATCCCGATTGCTTTCAAATTTCAGATTTAGTCATAGATTTGCAATGTCTGTCACACTTCCCTTATCTATTGTCTGGTGAACAGGACAACCAAGGCTTGTGGACCAGCCTGATTGACGCCAGCCTGATTGATGGCAGGTCAGCAGACACATGCTGACTCACTCCGGCTTACCGCTTCAGTGCCAGGTGCCCGAGATTCCTTCATGGCATTCTCGAGAATCCTTCTAGAAGGCACCGGGGTGGTGATCTTCATGTTTTCTGTCTCTACAGAGAAGCTCTGAAGCTTTTTTCATACTTGTACATGAATGTATGTGATGTATGTGCATGCGTGTATGTGCCTGTTCACATGGGTGTGGGTGCACGTGTGTGTGTGTGCGTGAACCCAGGCCGATGTCCAGAATCTTCCTCAATTGCTTCTGCATCTTGTTCTTTGAGGCAAGACTGACCAGTCCACTGGGAGTTCTGTGAAGCCTCACTAGCCAGCTCTGGGATCCCATCTCTGCCTTGGGTATTACCATGGCCGCCTCACAGTTACACGGGTTTGGGGGATTCAAATTCCAGGCCTTTTGCTTCCATGCCAAGCACTTTAACCACTGAGGTTTTGAAGGTTTTATTGTAGTTCTGCCTTCCCAGACTCATTCATTGGGGTCAGACAGCCTAACACAGCAGTCTGAATATTGGGGACATGATTTGCTGTTCAAAGAGTAAACAGAAGGAAAGCGGGGCCTAAAACTCTTTCTCTCATTCTTAAAATGTCAATAAACTTCTTGAGACACGCTTAATGGTAGGAAGACCCTTGGGGGATGTGGTCGGTGCACATTGTCAGACCGTGTTGTCCTGCTCCCGTGAGATCCTGAAGAGGTAAAGTCCAGTGAGAGGCAGGCGGGGGGTGACAGTAATAGCACACCTTACTTCAGGCAGCGGACAGGGGCAAGATTGTGGTATCTCAGAAGCATTTACCCCCTGCCCCCAGGGCCTCCAAAGTCTCCTCCACAGGGCAGCTTGGCCAGCTTTCCATAGATTCCTTAATAACAATGTGTTCTTTAAATGTCTCTAAGCACACGTGTTTGAGAAGTGCTGACTCAGGAACATTCAAACCTCAAAGATTAGCAAATTATCTACTGAGAATCAGGTGAGCTACATGTTTTTAACATGTGACTTGCTGGTGTCAAATAGGACCAGTGGGGGGCATGTGCATGAGCGAAAGCTGTGCGCCTCAAACCGAGATAGTGAGAGATATCTTGTTTGGTGTGGTTTGACTGTTGTTGATCTGTGGGTTCACCAAGAAATGGACTGAAGATTCAACACGTCTGGCATCTCTTCTGGGCCACTGATGATAGCTTATTTTGTTCTCAGTTCATTAAAGAACACACAGAAACATTTATTTATCTAAGGACTTGCTGATGTCTTTGTCATCAAAACCGAAATTCTCTTAACAGTAAACTTTACGTTATGTCTCCAGTGGGCTGATAACTTAGACTGACATAATGGGCAGACTGTGTCCAGGTCTCTATATGCTGTGATGACCCAGGTGCCAATCTGCAATCAATGCAGTTTCCTAGTAATAATGTGCAGCATTCTTGTGGTGACAATGGTGGTCTGGCAGGCTCAATCATTTCCAACTGCCGTGAGCGCCTGGCATTCAAGTAAACTTGACGGTGATCTTCCTGGGAGCCCTGATTGCCAACAGCAGCAGGGCTGACTTCGTCATCGTGAGTCCTGCAGAATTACACCCAGCAGCTCACAGCATCGTCCTAAGACCCGTGCAACTTATAAGCTTTGGGTCCGCATGACTCATTCTGCTATTTAATCAAGATCAAAAGTAAATTAAGACACTGTTTCTTGAATACGATTTTGGCCCATCCATCTCTGCCAGCGATGTCCTCTGGTTGAGAACCCAGTCAGTACATGTTGCACCTCCATTCTAGCTCCTCCTGCACACGTAGACCCACCACACCTTCCCTGATGCTGGTCTTCTCCTAAACCATGAGCTGGCCAGGGTTTCTCTACACTTCATCTTGTTTGTATAAGCATCATTTGGTGATGCTGGCCTGGCAGCATCCTGACTCATAGGTGCCTGTCCTCAGGGAAATTTTTGACTTGGATGCAGGAAGTATTACCATAGTACGGAGAGAGCTGTTTTGCTTATGTAGGAGTCTAGCTGGGCACTAACATGCGATGTGGCTGGATGACTCCTAAAGTCTTCAATTATGGCAACATGCATAGGCAGGAATCACTATGTCTCACCCACACCACAGCCCCTCATGCTAAGGAACCAGGCTGGCTGCTTTCCTGCTGCAATCTCCACGCCAGATAACTGTACAGCCCTCCAATGAGTGAGTCTGGGGAGGGGACAGTGCTACCCCTTGGCAGGCTTTGTAGTACCTGGCACCCTACTTTATACCTCCTGCCATGGTTCCTACCACCTGTGTCCCATACTCTCCCCAAGTCTGTGCCATTCCCCTCCTCTCGGTCCTACTGACCCACGAATTTCCCATTGCTGATCTCTGACTCTCTCCGGCACCAACTGCATGTGCAAGCACATTTGCATGGAAGAACATGCAATGGTTAGCCTTTCCAAGACATAATCACAGATATTGAAGCATGAAGTTCCGTGGGTCTTGACACGCATGCAGCCACACCGCATCATCCCAGTCATGATAGAGGGAATTTTCATCTCTGGAAGAGGTTCTCTATGATTGTTTCCACTCAGTCTCCTTCTGGTTCCCAACTCAAGACAATAGCTGGCCTCATTTCTGCCACTATTGTTTTGCCTGTTCTAGAATTTCATAAAAGGAATGCACTCATGGTGCATGGTTTATTATGTTTGCATTCTTAATTTTTTATTTCTTTGTGTTTATTTTATGTGTATGAGTGTTTTGCTTACATGTATGTAAGTGCATCACGTTCATACAATGCCTGAGGAGGTTAGAAGAGAGCATCAGAGCCCATGGAACTAGAGTTACAGACGATTGTTAGCTGCCATGTGGCTTATGGGAACTGAACCCAGGTCCTCTGCAAGAGCAGCCAGTGCTCTTAACCACTGAGCCATCTCTCCGGCCCTATGTCTGCATTTTTTACCTACCAGAACACTCTGGCGAGTCACCCTTGTTGATGCACGTACTGGTACTTCGTTCCTTTAACTGTTAAGTAGCATCCCACTATGTGGGCACGCCAGGACTCTGCTGCTTTACACAAGCGGGTTCTTCCCAACTTGGAGCTTTTAGAACAGCCCACCATAAATCCTCAAGTAAAAGTCTCTTCCTTTTGCCTGGGTGAATGGAGCTAGTTGCTGGTTCATATGGTGAGTGACATCTGATTTTATAAGCATTGAACACACTTTTGTCCAAGTGCCTGTGTGATTTCGAATTCCCAGCACCAACCAGGAGCACTTTCATCAACATCTATTATTTTAATTTAGACGTTTATGGGCATGAAATGGCATCTCAGGGTAGTTGTAATTTGGCTTCCCTAAAAATTAGTGATGTTAGCCAGTTGTGGTGAGACACGCCTTTAATCCCAGCACTTGGGAGGCCGAGGCAGGTGAATCTCTGTGAGTTCAAGGCCTATGGTCTACATAGTGAGTTCCAGGAGCTGGGGCTACAGGGAGACCCTGTCTCAAAAAGACCGAAAAAAAAATAGTGATGTTGAGCATCTTTCTGTAGCATTTGCCATCCATAAAGTCTCTTTGGTGAACTATTTAGACATTTCCTCGTTTCCTATTGTCCATTAGTACTGAGTGGTAGGGATTCTTTGTAGATGGACCAATATTAGTTTTCAATTCAAATGTTTTTTTCATTGTATTAAGAGCTTTTCAGGGAACAGTTTTAATTCTGATTAAGCATAATTTATTATTATTATTTTGCAATTTGTGTTTTTTGCATTTTTGTAAGAAAAGTCTCCCGTTCTTCAAGCCACAAAGATTTTTCTTGAGTTTTCCTCTAGAAGTCTTCCATCCTGCTTGCATTTAGAGGTGTGACGCATCTGAGTTAACTTTTACTTGTGGTGGGAAGTGTACGTTGCAGATCAGCTTTTTGTACATAAATATCCAGTTGTACCAGCATTTTGACACCATGTTTAAAAATCAGCTGCGTCCATCCCACAGACTCATGACCTGCCCTCTCCTTCACCAGTGCTACAGGCCCGACACCAAAGTACCCTTCTGTCTTAGAACCAGGTCGTGTGAGTTCTCCAATTTTATTCTCCTTTTCAGAATCAGCTATTCTAAGTTCCTTGAATTCCTTTCAGAGTTACTTTGTCAGTTTCTGTATTTTAAAAACCTGCCATAGTTTTGACTTAGTTTGTGCTGTACCTATAGATCAGTTTTGGAAGAATGGTATCTGCGTATCAACTCGTTCAGTCCTGAGCTTGACATCTCGCTCCCTAAATCTACACATTCTTTCTTTTCCCTCAACTATTTTTAAAAAATAATTTTAGCATATAAATCTTGTATACATATTGTTAGGTATATTCACAAATATTTTCATTTTATCTCTCTCTCGCCCTCCCTCCATACGTCCCTCCCTCTTGATTTGTAATTCTTTTGTTGTTATTTGTTTCGAGATAAAGTCTCACTGTGTGTCCCAGGCTGGTTTTGAGTTCACCATCTTCCTGCCTCAGCCTCCTGAGTGCTGAGGTTACAGGCATGGACCTCCATGCTTGGATTTTAGCTTTCTGTTTCTACGTCGTCTTGCTAGGGTAGAATTGTGATTATTCAAACGAACTGTGTCTAATCTGATGTCAGTCCTGGTCAGTGTACTTCTCATCTTATATATTGTGCACTTTTCTATAGACGCTTAGACAGATAGCTAGATCGACGATAGATGATAGACTAGGTGATAGATAATAGAGAGAGAGAGAGAGAGAGAGAGAGAGAGAGAGAGAGAGACAGACATAGAGATATGAGATTTATTAGCTTGGCTTACAGGATATGGCCTGGGTTGTTCAACATGACTGTCTCACACTGGAGAGGCTGAGAAGCCGGTAGATGTTCAGACCATGAGGCTGGTTCTGAAGGCCTGAGGGATTCTTGGAGAGCTACTGGTCTTTATTCCACGTTGAAAGCGTGAAGATGCTAGTTCTAAATCAGCAAAGGAATGCCACAGCAACAGATGGATGAACTTGGTGGAAGGAATGAAGGCAAGAAGGCAGAAAATAAGACTTCTTCTTCCACATTCTGTCTACTAGAAGGTGTGTGCTGGACAGCTTTAGTGTCAACCTGACACGCCTGGGTTGAGGGAGCCTCAGTTGGGGAATCGCCTCCATTGGACTGGCCTGTGGCCATGTCTGTGGGGCATCATCTTGATTGTTGTGTGATGTGCGAGGGTACAGCCCACTGTGCATGGTGCCACCCCTGGGCAAGTGGGCCTGTGTTGCATAAGAAAGCAGGCTGAACAGGGGTCAAGGAGCAAGCCAGTAGGCAGAGTTCCTCCATGGCCTATGTTCCAGCTCTCGCCTCCAGGTTCCTGCCCTGAGTTCCTACCTTGGGCTCCCTGATGAACTGTGACCTGGGAGATGTAAGATAAATAAACCCTTTCCTCCCCAAGTTGGTAGTGGTCAGAGTGTTTTGTCACAGCAATGGAGAAACAAACTAGGACAAGGTACTACCCACATTTAGGGTGGGTCTCCCCACTTCAAAAATCTGATCAAGAAAATCTCTCACAGGAGCTCCCAGTGCCTTCCCTCTTAGTTGATTCACATCCAGTCAAGTTGACAACCTACATGAGTCATCACATCTGTGGGAACTGTTCGCACAACTTTCCTACCAATTCTGTCCACCTTTATCATTTTTCTGTTTGCTTGTAAGCATTGGGGGCCATTTTCCTTCCTTCTCCCTGTCCCTCGCTTTGCAGTACTGGGGACTGAACAAAAGTCCTCTCACCTGTTCAGCAAGCACTCCACCACTGGGCTATGGAGGCATGATTTCACCAAGTTGCCCAGGCTGGTCTTGAACTCACTCTGTAGCCCAGGCAGGCTTTGAGTTTGTGACCCTCTTCCCTCAGCCTCTGGAGATGCTGGGATAACAGAGCTGTCCCACCAAGCCCAGCCCATTTCAAGTGCCTGGAAATTTCTTTTTGATCGCCTGAAGTTATAACCCTTACATCAAAATAATTTTGGGTTTCCTTAGAATATAGTTCTATTGGAATTGGATGCTTTGTTAGGCTCTCCATGCAGGCTTCTGTTCTGCACAGAGCATATTTGGGATAGAACTATACCACTGTACACTCATGTGGCAATGCCCACACAGACCATGAGGCGGCTCTGAGTGCCAGGAGGGTCTGCCATGTGAGCTGGTGGGTGAGAACTGCCCTAACCTGAGAGCTCAGGACTCTCCCTTCCTGGTAGTTTGTCAAGTAGGTCTGATCCCTCATGCTTAACAGGGCTTCCTTTTTCTTCTGAGATCCCACTCTGCAAGAGCATCAGCAGAGCTCCTGTCGCTTCTCCTGTCCTTGCTCTCCTTCCAGGGACTAACTAGTCCTAGTGTGTCTGTTACCCACAGTCTGGAATCCAGTGCTATGTTGGGTAGATTCTGGTCATTAATACAGAAGGGTATAGGGATCCCTGCTACTCATGATGGCTGAGGGCTGCAGTCTGTGTCATGCTTTGACTAACGTGCTAATCTTGCAGATGTCAGTACTACCTCCCATCTTTTTGCAACGCAGGCTCAATGTATACATCTGCATGCTCTAAAGTACCCAGTAGTTAGGTGCAGAAGTGACTCCACTCACCCTCCAGTCTGTGCCTAAAGCCATGGCTGAGAGGAAGCAAGGACGCTGTCTCTAAGGCATGATTCCAGGTACAGGGAAGGAATGGGATCAGTAAACATAAACGGAGAAGCAAGTTCTCCTAGAATATCTGGAGAACATCATTCAGGGTGAGCCTTATGTCATACTCACTTCCTCCCAGGAGTGCTAGGTACTCTCAGCAACTCTGCACACAAGAACTGACTGAGCACAGGGTGGTTGGCTGTGGAGGAAACACAGCCTTCCTGACCAGGTACTAAGCCTACACTTCCAGTTCCTCTCCCTCTGAACCTAATCAGACCCACATGACAAGAGGGTGGGACAAAGAGGAAAAGCACGAGTCAGCCATTAGGTGTCAAAATACCATGAACAGCAGAGCTTTGGGTGATGGGTTTTGCTGGGTAGGAAGTGGGCAGTTAGTAGGGCAGGATACTAAACAATGTCAAAACACAAGAGTGAGTCTGAGGACAGCAAGTCGGTCCTCCTTCTTCCTGCATGACATGGAGCAGAAGGTAGATTTTTTTTTTATGTTCTTTTCATTAGATCCCCTGAGAGACTCCCTCACCTTGCCCATTGGCATCCTCAGTACACTTTGTAGTAGCAATCCAGCTGGTTTGGCCAGGCTCGTGGGTCAACTGTTTCCAATATACAGCTCTCAACACCCAAGCTCGTTCACCTGGGCCGAGCTGTCACCAAGAGATGGTCCTTTGCTGCTCATCAGCCCACAAGCTGCCCCTTCACCCAAGGACCAGGACCAGAGCTGCCTCCTCTAGCAAGCCCCTCCTGCGATGCTAGCCTTAACCTCCCTTCCTATACTTGGACCGTTGCGATGTACCCACTTTGCAGTTTAGTCCCTGTTAATTGAGGCATCTGCTGTGAAGGTCAGTGGCTAGTGGGAAATGTCTCCACACCTGCCCACCACCTCCTCAGGCCCAGAGTCTGACATGGTGCATCTCAAGAGAGACCCTTACATTCCAGCCTCAAGCAGCTCTGAGACTTACATACCCACATATAGCTGACTACATTGGAGTTTAAACCACGAGCTTCTTTTTTCTAAAGATTTTATGTATTTATTTTACTTTATGTGTATGTGTGTGTACCTGAGTATATGTTTACCACATGTGTGCCAGTGCCCACAGAGGCCAGGAGAGGGTGTTGGATTCCCTGGAACTGTAGTTACAGGTGGTTTTAAGTTGCCCAATGTGGGTGCTGGCAATTGAATCCAGGTCCTTTGCAAGAGCAGCAAGTGCTCTTAATCTCTCCTCTGAGTCATCTGTTCAGCCCCCAAATCATGAGTTTCTATCCCTGTCAAGATGTCTATAGATTTTGTTCAGGGAAATTTCCTGAACAAAAAATAGAATTTGCATGAGGATTTTTGTAAAGTTCAAAACCTGTGGTTTTTCTTTCTTTAAAATTTTATTATTTTTATTTTATGTGTATGAGTGTATTGCCTGCATGTGTGTAAGTGCACCTGTGTCATGTAATACCCACAGGGGTCAGAAGATGGTGTCAGATCCCCTGGAATTGGAGTTACGGACAGTTGTTAGCTGCCATGTGGGTGCTGGGAATTGAACCCAGGCCCCCGTAAGAGCAGTCAGTGCTCTTAACTGCTGAGCCATCTCTCCAGCCCCAAACCTGTGGTTTTTCTGATAGGACCTTTTCTTAAACTGGAAAACCAGTCTCTCTATGGCTAGGCAAGTCTGGTCTGGCCTTTTGATTTGTGTACTCTCTACTCTAAGTGATTTCTAGCCTAAGGCACTGAAATAGAGACACGGGGCCTGCAGAATCCACAGCATTTGCTGTCTTGCCCCCTTTAGAAAGAGGTAAGGGAGCGTGTTTTAGGAAGTTTTTGCATCACATAACATGCAGAGCCCTGTGTTCTGATGGGGCAGAACGTCCCAGATCACTGTGTACCTGCAGTACATTTTGCCTTCTCTCCTCCTTAGCTTCACCTCTGCTCTCCTGACATCTCTCCTGGTGAGTGGCGTGTGGCTGGACTACCCACTTCCCTTTTCGCACCAGGCCTGGACCTCCCAACCTCTGTGAGGACCCAACCTCTCTGAGGACCATCATGCATGAGGTAAGAATCTATTCTCTTTTGGCAGGGAGCCCACGCTTGGCTCAATATGGCTCCTTGGAAATGGGCTACCACTGACTCCGCCCTCCTTGTTTTCCAGGAAATAATGAATTCCACAGAGGCTTACTATGGAACGGAGGATTATTCTGATACAGCTATTGCTTTCTATTCAATGCCTCCAGAAGACTTGGTGTGCTCCTTGCAGGAGGTCAGACAATTCTCCAAGGTGTTTGTGCCAGTTGCGTACTCCTTGATATGTGTGTTTGGCCTCCTGGGCAATATTATGGTGGTGGTCACCTTCGCCTGCTACAAGCGGGCCAAGTCCATGACGGATGTGTACCTGCTGAACATGGCCATTGCCGACATACTTTTCGTCCTCACGCTTCCATTCTGGGCAGTCACTCATGCCACTGGCACTTGGGTTTTCAATAATGCTCTGTGTAAGCTGATGAAAGGCATCTACGCAGTCAACTTTAACTGTGGGATGCTGCTCCTAGCCTGTATCAGCATGGACCGGTACATTGCCATTGTGCAGGCAACCAGATCTTTCCGGCTACGATCCAGAACGTTGGCACACAATAAAGTCATCTGTTTGGTGGTGTGGGTGGTATCAATCATCATCTCCAGCCCCACATTTACCTTCAATCAGAAATACAGCTTGCAGGGCCGCGAGGTCTGTGAGCCCAGGTACCAGTCTGTCTCAGAGCCCATCACATGGAAGCTGCTGGGGCTGGGGCTTGAGCTGCTTTTTGGCTTCTTCATTCCCTTTCTGTTTATGGTGTTCTGCTACATGTTCATTGTCAAGACCCTGCTGCAGGCTCAGAATTCTAAACGGCACAGAGCCATCCGTGTCGTGATCGCTGTGGTGCTTGTGTTCCTGGCTTGTCAGATTCCTCACAATGTTGTCCTCCTGGTGACAGCGGTAAACACAGGTAGGATGGACCGGTCCTGCTCCAACGAAAAACTCCTCAGCTATACCCGGAATGTCTCCGAGGTCCTCGCTTTCCTCCACTGCTGCCTCAACCCCGTGTTGTATGCATTTATTGGACAAAAATTCAGAAGCTATTTCCTGAAGATCATGAAGGATGTGTGGTGTGTGAGAAGAAAGAAGGTGCCAGGCTTCCTCTGTGCCCGGATGCACTCAGAAAGCTACGTATCCAGGCAGACCAGCGAGATTGTGGATAATGACAATGCATCATCCTTTACCATGTGACTGTGGTATAAATCCACGTACCCCAAAAGCCTTTGTGGAGCCTGATAATAGATGTGGGGAAAAAAAAGGAAAAAAGTCATGCTCAAATATACACAAACTGTCGAAATTAAACAAAGTCTCCCTACAAGATCAGAACCGATCCACTGGGTGTGTGTAAGTCGGTGGGTAGCAGGTGGGTACGGAGGGCAGTTCTCCCCAGTATGGTTGACAAGAAATATTGGTAGCTCTGGTCTCACAGGGTTGATGTTCCACAAGACAAGCCTTGGGAAATGCTGGATTAAAATGAAGTGTTCGTGAACATAAAAGTATTCGGAAATGTACATGAAGGGGCCATAGATGTGGTCACAGCACAAAACAGGAACATAATTTGAAAAGACCAATACAAGCCTTCCTGTAGTGTGTGAGGCAAATGGTATGTTTGCTGATGCTTACTGCAAGTAGCAAAACTCGTGTACCTGTTTCCCTTGATCCTCTCAGCAAGTGCCAGACTGTCGAGGGGAGACAAGTGTTCCCGAACCGGAAAAGCACCATGGGAGACAGGACCCGAGCTGAAGAGGAACGGAGATGCCTGGGCTTGCAGCAGGCCATCTGGAGCTCATAAGTTTTCTTCCACTTCCAGAAACTGTTGTTGGTTTGCCTTCCCCTTTGACCTCTGAAGTGGGTGGAGCCTGGGGAGGCTCTGTGATCTTGTTCACCGCTGGACTCTGGGCTCTGCAGTATCTAGCCTCCAAAGCAGGTTTGGTTGACATTTGTAGTTTCCAGTGCTTTTCTTCTAGTTCTGCAAAGGAGCTGGGGATTCTAGTTACCAAGAGCTTTAAGTTCACCAGTGAACAGAACCATGCTGCCTCTGATTTTTTTTGGCTTTTTTTGAGTCAGGGTCTCCCTGTAGCCCCAGCTGTCCTGGAACTCACTATGTAGACCAGGCTGGCCTTGAACTCCCAGAGATCCACCTGCCTCTGCCTCCTGAGTGCTGGGATTAAAGGCCTGCGCCACCATGCCTGGTGGGGCTAGATTTTTAAATAGGGGTTGAACCCAGGGCTCACATGAAGGTAAGTGGGCTACCACTGTGCTATATCCCCAGGCTTTTCTAAGGCACCCAGGCAGACCTTGAAGTTGCAATCCTCCTGTCGTAGCCTCACAAGTAGCTAAGATTACAGGCCCGTGCCACCATGCCTAGCTCCAAGACTGATGTTAAGGCAGTTTTACTCAAAGACTGCAGTTAGTGATGGAACCAGGTTGTAGTAACTCTCTTCTGCCTCATAAAAATGTCATGGTATTCTAATTTTAAGGTCCTATGTAAATATATGACCATAAACAGAAAAAAGAACTCGAGCTATGGAAACATAAATCTGCATTATGAAAGTTGTTGATGTGAAAATCAAAAATACTGACATGTTAGATTCTGACAAATGTGTTATTTGTAACGTATGGTTCTTGTAAGCTTTAATGATGTCTTCTCTATAAAATAAAAAGCAACGTCTTCAGAGTCTTCATCTTGTGCGTATGAACGTATGTGCGCACACACGTGCACGTAGAGGCCACAGGACAGCCTGAGGAAACATCCTGTTTTTTTTCTTTTAAGATGAGGTCTCTCACTGCCGTGGAACTCGCCAAGTACGTAAGGCTGTCTGGCCGAGTGAGCCCTGGGACCCACCTCCCTTGGCTCCCATGGGTTCCAGGGAATGAGCCATCTCCCTAGCCCCGTGTTAGGAACACAACTCCTTAGCTTGTTCTAAATTCTTTCATGCCTTAAACTATAAGCGTCTCTCGCAAGCTTTAATTATTCCAGGAGGCTTCTTTGTCTTGTTTTGAGAACTGAACAAGAAGAAACGCGAGGACAGACCATTACTGCAATGAGATACCCTGTCTGACCACAAGCCACTTTGGGAAGAAAAGGTTTATTTTGGCTTACACTTTCAGGTTGCACTCCATCACTGTGGGAAGGTCACGACTGGAAATGGCATCCTCAGTCAAGAGCAGACAGAGGGTAGACCCAGGGCACTTGCTTGCTACTGCTTAGGCCCTTCTTGGCTTCTTCCCTCTTACAGTTTAGGGTCCAGCCCATGAAGTAGTGCCACCCACATTCAGGGTGGTCTTCCCGCCTCAATTAACAATCAAGACCCACCCCTTGAACTGGCTCAGCAAACTTCCCTAAGTTACTCCATTTTGTTCAGAGCCATTTTAACAGCAACTTTGCTCCACACCAAAAGGAAAAGGGGGACAACCTTGGGTCTTGGGAAATTGTCCTCGCCATGAACCATGGAATGTGCTAATTCCAGACATTATACATCTGATTAACCAGCTTGTTTTCACTTCTGTAACCTGCTTGCTGTCTTGGGTCGCCTTGACTCAGGGCATAAGACCACCCTTGTTATCCTGTTATTGTATGACCACCTAGAAGTCATTTACCTTGACTGTCTTATTATACTTATTATGGCTAAAATAGTTGGCTAGTTTTAAGGTCACAAAGTTGGATGCCAAGTTATATGACTGTATCACTTGCCTGAATAATGACTGGTTGTTGATTAATAGAGTCAAAATTCTGCTATGTTGTACAAACCTGATTGGTTCATAAGTGTCCTGTTTTAATAATAATTCTGTAATCCTATAAAAACTCTGACCCAATCATCAGGGCTGCTTCTACTCCCGAGATAGACAGCCCGGCCGGTGGAAAATTAAAATTTACCTTGCTACTTTTCTTAAAGTGGTGTTGGTGATTTTCTTACGAACTCTGTCCTATAACACCCTGACAGACATACCTAGGGGCCAACCTGATCTAGGTTACTCCGCATTAAGACCCTCTTCCCAGGCAATTCTAGGTTGAGTCAAGCTGACAGTTAACACTAGCATACATGGTAATCCCTGGGGAATGTTTTGTCCCAAGGCTGAAATTCCCTCCCTCATCCATTTTGGGATTTTTAGTCTGAAGTCTTCCATTTCTTGGTCGAAACCTAGAGAAAGACAACAGTAGAAGAGTCTGTCCCCCCAGAAATGAGGAGAAGACTTACGCCCTGCTGGTATCCCAGGCATGGGTCCTCCACAGCTGCCCACTGACTTCAGCCTTAGTTTGCGTGATTCTTTGTGGCTTCAGGGAAAGAATGTGAGTGTGTAGAACGCATTTCAGAGGAAGTGAGAATCTTCTGGTGAGAGAGACAGAGAAGGCATTTCAGAGGAAGTGGGCATCTTCTAGTAAGAGAGAGACAGAAGCCATTGCAGGGGAAGTGGGCATCTTTTAGTAAGAGGAGAGAGACACTCAGTAAAATACAAAGAGGGCAAAGGTGGCCAGCTGGGAACGGAAGAGAGGAAGCTGCTGGTGTCGGAGCAGCTGAGGAACAGAAGCACAAATCAGGTCCTGGCCCTGCTCACTTTCAAAGGACTGCTTGAGTCCAGGGATGCAAAACCAACATAAGTAACACCGCAAGATATAGTCCGACAAAAGTTTCTTCTTGACTGAGCACAATGACAGGATGCTCCTGTCCTTCAAGGCAGTGAGGTTTACTACAGCCAATCTATCACCTACCTGCAGGAAGAAATCCCCCACAGTGGCTTCCAGAACAGTCCTGACCACAAAAGGTTCTGTTGGGCATGGCCAGTCTGTCCCTGCAGAACAGCTGAGGGGCCAGCACTGCCCGAGCCCACTGCACTGTTACGGACACCAGCTCTTCCCAGGCACCAGGATGGGCACGCACCTAGCGCAGGCGACAGAGGCAAGTGGACACACGGCAGAGAGTGCTCCTGGTGGAGGACATGAACATGGGGTTGACTGAGCATCTGCAGACGCTGGGGGAGGAAAGCACTGAACAGAGTCAA